CTGGGGCGCTGCACTGGCAGGCGGCCGTCGGGAAGGTGCGTGTCGGCTCGCTGAGCGAGAGACGGGAGTCTGGAGGGTCCCGGTGTCTGCGGGGAAGGGCCGCCGCTGGAATACTCGACAGCGAGGAGTAGCGGGAAGCACGGAGGGGGTGTTCAGGGATCTCGCAGTGTTTTGTGTCCTTGTTTGTTTGGTTCTGACCGCGCAAACTGTTCAGGATAGGCAACAGCGCTCCAGCCGACCCCCCTCGTGGGTTAGGCAGCACGAGTGGAAGGAGCACCAGAGGGAGAGAGGAATAAAGGAGAAACAGGGGGCAAAGGTAACACGTTTCCGACAAGATTTTTGTTTTTTTGCTGAGGAATTTGATGAGATAGGAGTGGGAGGGCAGAGACACCAGAGGACAAGGCCCCTGGTGATCAGATTAGACAAAGTGGAGAGAGATCTGTTGCTGAATTATTGATCAAAGCGTGTAAGGTCAGCGGGGAGTAAGTCTGTGCTGAGTCTAGAAAAACAGATAGGATGGCTTGAGCAGGATGCGGTGTTGGACCGGGAGCGCGTGGTGTTGTGACTGTGACGGGTACGTACGGGAGGGCGGGTGGCAGCCGGCTTGGTTTGTGCCCGAGCTCCTCCGGCTTGCTCAGAAGGAAGCACTGCTCTGCTGGGGGACTTCGCAGGGTTAGGATGTGGGAGCTAATTCTTCAGGGGCCAAAGCTAAGGCGTGGGGTTGCGGTGGAAGGTGATTTAGGTTCTGTTTTGATGTAAAAAATGGAAGGGGACCCCTTGGTCAGCTCACTGCTGGCTTTTCGCCCTCTCTGCTCTGCGAGGGAGCCTGAGGGCAGCCGTGCCCCGTGGGTTTGCACGGAGGTGCGACTCTGTGATTCACTGTTTAATTTGGAGTGACTGGCGAGGCAGCTTCTGGCATGGCAGAGCGCGAGGTTTCCAATAGCCTTTTCATTTTATTTACTGCTCTGGTGCCAGGCTGGTTATCCATATGGCTTTGTTCCCTCACGCCTCAGATGGAGAGATCGCGGGCTGTTCTTGCCAAACAAAACACGGCGTGCTCGCGTGTTATCTGCTGCTGAATCCCCTGCCCTCGAGTGGATGTGGAGCCCTTGAAGTTTGCGTCGAGGATAGCAGCGTTCCTCACCCCTGGTGCGTGCAGCTCCTGCCCGCTTGATACTTGCGCTTGTGGACTGGTGTCAGATAGCGGAGTCTTGGTGTTTTCTGGCGTTTGTTGCTTTTCATAGTCCAAAGCAGAACAGCTGTTGTGTTTCCTTGCTTGTAAGGCTGCTGGTTCTCTGACCCTTAAGGACCTTCCACGGAGTGAAGGTATCCTCGCTTCCGAAGCAGCAGATGCGCGTGGTTCCTCGTATCCTCACCACTCTCAGCCATTCAGTGTTACTGTTGTGTTTTATTTGCACGACAGGAGCTCTGATAAACCCCGCTCGTACGTAGGATCCCAAAGCCAAGAAGTAAAATATCTCTCATTTTTCGGTTTTATTAGCTGTAGGCTGTGTATTTTTTCAGAAATTACAGGAATGGTCTGTGCAGAATTATTGTCTGTATTCATATAAAGGCAGGTAGTTAAAATAAAAAAGTGTACCGCCTTCCTTGTGATATTTAAAGGGAACTTCAGTCACATCGCTCCCCATCCCAGCCCCTGCTTTTTAATGTTCCCTGGTTTTTTAATGCATTTAATTGTATTCTCCTTGTCAGGTGGAAGATGGGACGGTTTCCGTTGTGTTTTAGGTGACTCTGACACCTGGTTACCATGAAGTCCCGAAGGAGATAGAGGGACAGTAGTGGGAATTTCTTCTCACTCCTCCAAAAAAATCCAACAATTGCCTAATGGTAAGAAAGCTGTCGTTTTTAATTAGCTTTATATTGTATGGTGTCCATTAATCCCGGAACACATTGAAGAGTGGGAGGTCCAAACCCATTGGGCCACGTGCGGGGGGATTGAGGAGATACAGGCTGTAAATGCTGCATGTTTGGAGAGGGTGGGAGCAGTTGGTTTGAAAAGACGACTGTCCTCTGTTTTGTGTCCTCTCCTCAGGGCTTACCTCTTACGCTGACGTCATGGGGAGCTGCTGCAGTTGTCTGTGCAGAGACAGCATCCCAGACAACCATCCCACCAAATTTAAGGTAAGTGTTGCACCTGCATCCCCGTCAGAGAGTCTGTGACAGCACTGACTACTAGCAAAGCCCAGCATGGGCTGGACTCCAGGCATGCAAGGAAAGAAAACCTCTGCTCTGGCAGAGAAGCCTTTCACTTGATAGGATTTGCAAATATGTTACGATTTTGGTTTGGGTTTTTTTAACTTTCCTTAAGCAACCTTTGCTGCAAATGTCTTTGTATTTGCAGTAGAAATTGCGTCTGCACTGGGATTCAGCCTGAGCAAGGAAATGGGGAACTGGAGAGAAGCCTTTTATTGCTCAGGGCTGTGTTCCAGTGTCTGTGCTGAGACACATCAGCTGAACTGCCAAGCACACAGTCTCCAGGGCTGCCGGCTTGGCGCCTTCTGCCAGCGATGAATTCATGCTCTCAGCTGAGAAAAAGGCATCTCAGGAAACGAAGGGGAAATCCGCGGGAATTACAGCATCTGCGTGGGTGGGCTTCTTTTGATACCAATGCACTGCGTTTCCTGATGTGAGCTCTGTGGCCTCGGCAGGTAACGAACGTGGACGATGAAGGTAACGAGCTGGGATCTGGGATTATGGAGCTGACACAGACGGAGCTCATCTTGCACACTCACAAGCGCGATGCTGTCAGGTGGCCCTACCTCTGCCTGCGCCGCTACGGCTATGACTCCAACCTCTTCTCCTTCGAGAGCGGCCGTCGCTGCCAGACGGGGCAGGGTGAGTGGAGGTTCCTGGAGGAGGGAACCGCTGAGGTTTCTGTTCCCAGGCAGCCAGCGTGAGCTGATGCTTGTGTCTTTCCACCTTCCTGCATCTAATGAAGCAACAGGTTCTTTGGCAGCCTCTGTTCCAAATACGGAGTGTGCATGCACATATAGTTAACGTTCCTGATTAAAACACTAAGGAGAACAATGTGGTGGCTCAGGACCTGGGCATAAATCTAATGGTTTCATTTTGCTGCTGCCTCGGTGCCCATGAGGTAATGGGTGAAGCAGGCCTGAGCACTGGCCGGGCCGTATTTAACGTCGGAGAGGACATCAGGTACACTGTCAGCTCTGAGCTTTGGTACCGAATGGTGCGCAGCTGGGGTCCCAGGCGTTGCTGGACTGCTTTCCTTAGGAGCTAGAAGGTACTTTTTGCAAGACTGAAGCTTTGTTGAGCATCTTTTAACTCCGGGGATAAAGTGAAAGGCTTTTTGCCGGTCCCTCTTAGGGTTCTCTTATTCCGCAGAGCTGCCAAGCGCGTCGGTAGCGATAGTTGTTTGAGCACATTTTGTTTTTCTCAGTGCAGTCTCTCTGCCTTGGTTAGTGCTAGTTCTACTTAATGCTTTGCATTTGATGTCCAGCAGCACTTTGTAACGTAGAGGGAAAGGAGTTTTACGTTTTACTGATTTTATGCACGGGGATGCTGTGCATCGAGAAGGGAAGTGAGTCACCCAGGAGCACACGCCAAGTCGTCAGCAGCGCTGGGAACAGGCTCCAGTTTTACAATGGTGCCTGTTAGTTCCTTTACCAGTCTGTCTCTCTCGCTTTTAAAGAGCTGAACATTTTCTTGGCATCTGCATCCCTGGGAAAAAGAAGTTTGTTTCCTCATTCTGTTAATGTGTTTGTAAACTCCTCCTTACCCAGAAGGACTCTGCGTGACTGTTCAGTGTCTGTGTAAAGCGCTGCGCAAATCTGTAGTGCCGTATGCTCCTTTTTAATATTTATGTAAGCGGGGTTTTCCTCTCCCAGAGTCACGTGGTTATCAGTTGCCAGCAATGGGAATTGCTTCTCTTTGGTTTCTCTTCTGCCTTTTGCAGGATGCAGCTCAGTGATTAAAATTCTGCCTTATGTGCGTTTTGGTTTTGTTTAGGTCCAGGTAGTGGTGATAAAGCAGAGCCGTTTGCTTGTTGTATATTACAAAATTTTTAGCAGACACGTACTTACTCACCAGTCTTAAAGCAGACAGAAATGAGAGGGATGGTGTTGTGTTTTCATGAGTTTTCTCCCTTCCTTGTAAGGTTTTATTCTGCTTAGTTAATTTTATTTGGAGGACTTCTTCCTGATGCTGCTCCCCACCTCATATAAGGCAGATATAGCTATTTTTTTGGCCAGAATTTTTAAAACCTTGGTCTTTGGGGTGGCAGCTGTTGTTGCCATGCCGTTCTCGTTGCTATGGCTTTTGTGCGTGTGTGTGCGTGCCAGCTTGGGATTGGTTAGCTCTGCACACACCAGCTCTGGTTTGGGCTGCTCGTTTGGGGAGACATTGTTTAATTCCATGCATTTTTGAAATATGTCGTTCTTGTCCCTCTCTCACGTGCACACTCCACAGGGCCCAGTTCAGCATCGAGTAGTCGCTGGGTAGACTTTCCCCTGGTAATGAGAACTGGACTGGGTGCCAAGTGAATTAAAATAGAAGATTAGAGATGAAGGGAGACTGGTTAGCCTGTCCCTTTCACATCTCTGCTCGTGTGGGACTGATCGCTGTACGATAACTGGGGTGCTCACCAGTTTTCTTGTAATAAGGCGCCATTGGGTCAGGTGGCAGTCACAGCATTGTATTTCTGTCAATAATCCACTGAGTTGTTTTTTTACCTCTGGCTGTGGGGTGCAGGGGTTGATTGTGTTAAACACAGCAAAAGAAATCAGAATTGCCTGTTCGTTGAGAGCCAGGACTTACATACACTCTTGCTAAAGCGGGATCGCTTCCTCGCCAGTCTGACCTTCCTCTTTGCTACTGCGCAGGGATTTTTGCCTTCAAGTGTTCCAGAGCAGAGGAGATCTTTAATCTGCTGCAGGACCTGATGCAGTGTAACAGTATCAACGTGGTGGAAGAGCCTGTTGTCATCACCAGGAACAGTCACCCCACGGAGCGGGAGCTCTCCCGGACCCCCCAGGCACCCAACAGTAAGGCTGCTTCAGTGTCTGGGGGGAAGAGGGGGGAACACAGAGACATGGGCAATGTCTGCAATTGCTCACATGAAACTGCCCTCTGCAGCCCATGGATCTCTCCCATGCACTGCCTCGCTGCCGACCCGTATCTTTATGTCCATGTGTGCCCCAAGCAGCGTGTTTATTTTAAGGCCATGCTTGTCTGTGACGTGGTATTTTGTTTTTAAGGAAACAGCAACAAAAAGCCCTTCAAATGGTCAACTGAGTTGTCACCCTTCAGTTGGGTTTCATCTGGACTGCTGCCAAGTGGCCTTTTTTAAGTAGCACCTACAAGGACCGGGCGTTTCCTAGAGGAAACCGCATCTGGAAGAATTCAGATTTGCTCGATTTCCATTAGAAGTGACTTAAATGGATTTAAAGAAGAGGGCCTAGCCCTTGAATTTATGCTAGGTACTTCATCGTAGGGATCTCCCCCAGACCGGCTGATTCTGACTCACAGGGTGCAGTTAAGAGGCCAGCTCACTGCAGAAATGAAGTCGACTGTATTTTATACCAAACCAATGCTCTAATGCTTGTCTGTCTTGATTCTTTCCCAGGTCTGGGGTACACTGTCCCAGGATTTCCCAATGGATTTCACAGCTTCCCTGGAGAAACCCTATCATACTCCGCAGCCCGCCCCCCCTCCGTGAGCAGCCTGAGGCATTCCTCGGTGGGCGAAGACTCGACTCATGCCCTTATTGGGCCCGATGAGCAGGTAGACCTGGATGTCCTAAATTCTGCTGTTTGCAAGCAAAGAACATGCAGCTTGTTTTGCTAGCAGTCCTGTGCAATTCTGGGTTTCTCTTACTCCAGCAAAGCTCAGGGGAGCCTCATGCCTTGTCCTCCTTTTTTTCTCTTTTGCTTCATTTTGCTCTTGGAGACTTCTGCTCTCTGACACTTCACCAGAACAGATGCTCTGTCAAGGCTGACTGAGTTGGCTTCCTTGATCCATGAATATTTGTGTGGCAATTATTTCACAGCAGCACTTAGCTTACGAGTCCAAGTCGTACTGCCCTATCTGTCAGCTGTTACTGCAACCCTGAAACTGACGTGCAGATGGGTGCCCAAGTTCAGACTCTTTTTATTTTTGATGTTCTGCTTTTTGTTC